GAGAGCAAGAAAAGAGATTCTGATCAATTTATCTATGGGGTATGCAGCGCATGTTATGAGCTCTTGACCTATTTAAATTTTTTGTATAGAAAATAAAGAAGAGAAAGATCCTTKTTTACAAACGTATTTCTGAGAAAAATAGGAATTCATATTTTTGGACTTTCAAATGAGCAATGACATTTGGATTTATGCTTGCATAAGTTTATTAAATTTAAGACATCGCTCATTCCCAACCCAATTTGCATAATTTTTCCATAAATTAACAATGTTTTTTGGAAAAATGTTATTTTGAAAATGTGCTTTATTTTTATAATATAACACAACCGTCTTAATACTCGCTCCTCTAAATTTCATATTACCGAAATGAAAATGCCGTCGGGATATGTGAAAATGGGATATGTTGCCTCTTCGAAACATTCATAGAAATGAAAACTGCGCTGTCAAACGGTTGAAGTGACAGCTCATAGCAGAGAACGTCTATCATAGAGAAGAACTTCAGTGATTGCTTTAGGRTCGTATAGCTTTAAAACAGGGGCTTTCATCAGAGCCATTTTTAACTGCTGGAAGGCAGTCAGCTCTCGTCCCCCACTTCGAATTTTGAATCTTTCCTCAAAAGGTCAGTAAGTGGTTTCGCTACCACTACGTAACCTTGTATAATCCTTCGGAAATAAGATGTCAAACCGAGAACGCGGTGTAACGACTTCTTATCGTGTGGCATAGGAAATTTCGCCCAGGCTTGAGTTTTTGCTTCCGACGGTGCTATGGTACCGTTCTCTAAAATATACCCTAAAAAGTCGACTCTACGCACGAGAATCCTACACTTGTTCCACTTTATTTTTAGGTTGTACTCCGACGCTCTACTTAGAACACGTTCCAGCTTTTKGACGCCCTTATTCAAATCCTTAGCGGGAATAATGAGGTCATCCATGTAGCCCACAACTGTTCCATCCTGGATCATGTCTCTTAAAACAGCAAATACAAAACGCGAAAATACAGCAGGCGAGTTTGAGATTCCAAACGGAACATAAAAAAATTCAAACTGATCGTTATGTGTGATGAAAGCTGTATATTTCCTTGAGCTCCTCKCAACTGGAACATGGAAAAACTCGTTAGCTAAATCCAGAGTCGTAAAAATTTTAGCTCCCTGTAATCTTTCAATWACATCGTCTAATAGGTACATCGGAAAATTATCTCGTACGATCTTAGTATTTAACCGCCTGTAGTCGCAACAGGCCTCCTTCTTAGACACTAGCACAATAGCCGACGCATATTCTGACGAACTACGCTGAACGATCCCCTCTTCCAACAATTTCGCTACCTGCTCATCGACGACTTTTTTGTCAGCGTATGACATGCGCCTAGGCCGTTCATAAATTAGAATATCATCCGTCAATAAAATTTCCATTTCAATTGGAGATTCCCCCGTCTTTTTTGGCTTATAACGGATAATCAACTCTTTGACCCTGTTCGCATTGTTTACCTGCAAATGTGACAAGTCAACTTCCGGCTCACTAACGTCACATTTTTCCACTGTACAACACAAATCTTGAATTCTTCTAGCACATCAACCTTCTGCTGTTTCGTTGCGTCCACTAATTCCCTATTGCGTAAATCAGAATTTGTTAACGTAGTAATGCTTTGTGATGTACTATCTACCTCATCTTTAATCGTCTTTGGCTTGAATTCCGCCAAATCTTCCGATACAATCAAGTTCACATATTTCAGTATACTATTACCGACTATTGCTGAGTAATGCATATCACGTTCACGCACAGCGTGGAATGTAGCTTCAAGTTGCAAATTATCAACATGAACTGGAATGGTAAAACTACTTACAGTATCAAGGATACTACCACTAATACCTCTTAGCCGACGCTAATCGTTATTCAATTCAATATATTTTCCCAACATGAGCAAGATGTCGTTACGTATTAAACAAAGGTCACAACCGGTATCGATTAATGCCGAAAAGGTTACACCCTTGCATGTCAATTCCTTGAAAATGCACCTACCAATTTTGCTAACTTTTGGGACTAGGTCCTCTTCCAATGTATTTACACTACCTTTCTCGGTTTTCTCTGAAGCTTGTTTATCTCGACAATCGGCCGCACGATGATCTGGTTGCCCACACTTAAAACATTTAGGCTGTGCCTGATTACAATCTTTTGCTATATGAGAAACATTATCACACTTAAAGCATCGTTTAACTTTTCCTTTCTCTGAGTCCTGATAAGCTGTCGTTACTGATGTGGGAGTTGTTTGATTTAAGCTTGAGCTGGTCACTTGCTGGCCAGATCGCACTTTCTCATACACACGTATTTGCTCTTTCAACTCTGGTATGGTTTTTGCCTGATAAAGGTTGATTTTGTTTTGTCGTGAATCAGGAATACCCTCTACGAAATATTCAATTAAACTCATATCGTCAAGTTTAATTGCCTTACCYAACTCCATGARACTATAAAGATACTCTTTATAATCTTCATTGTTACGCTTTCGACCATTTCGCAGCATACGGTGAACCTCGATGGACGACACTGTAATATTAAACTCAGATTTCAATGCCTGCGCTAGCATATCAAAACTAGTTATAAAATAATTTGTCTTATTCGCATAAAAGTAGTTTAATTAAATCATACAGCAACTTATTAGGTCGATTTTGCTTTCTCAATTGTGCATAAGGCTTATACTGCTTTAACAATTCACCTCAGCTATCAAAGTATAAAGCTCTCTCGTATACAAAATTTCACCACTCAAATTTTCATCTTCTGTGTTGCTTACAAGCAATCAAAATAAACTTTCRAAATCTTAAGAATGTCAAGAAAAATGAGAAAGATAATGACTTAGCTATCAGTTACAATTCAAATTTTCATTCTATTTCTTTTGCTYTTACTACTTTTCTATACTACTCGTACTCATCTGTAGTTCTGCTTCGCCAAATATTGTTTTGTTGCAATTTTCCAATAAGAATTTTTCGATGTTTCAGTTACACTTCTTCTGCCAGTATTACAGAAT